AAAACCTTAATTAATTGTAAAGTATTAATTGGTCAAGCGGACCACGAAATTAGTGAATTTAAAGTACCTTATTTTGAAACATTCTTACTCCTTCTACCATGGTTTTTGCCGCTGCTCCCTACACTGGGCACTCATGCATTAATATCGGTCTTAATAAGTTCTTGCTCAGTAGTAATGCACATTTCAGTTTTACGATGTATTTATTAAATTATACGAAGTTTGTGATGGATCCAAAAAACCTTTTACCTGTTGATGGTTATTTGTACTTTACACTATTTTAACAACTGGGTTTCGAAATGAACGAATTTTTGGATTTTGGAAACATTATACAATTTTTAAAATATTGCTTGCCATATTAAAATGTTTTCTACTATTAGAAGTAGTGACGGGCGATATCAATAGATATGAATAAAGTATCGAGTATTTTCTTTCGATACCGAGGAATTTTGGTATCGAATATTGTCATTCGATACAAGTACTGTATCGAATACTTTTTGCAGTATCGGAAAATATACCCAAATAGATTTTCGTCGAGTGTTTAAGTAATTACAATTAATTAAAGTTTTTTAGTTGAGATGAAAAAAGTTAATGGCACGAGCGGGATTCGAACCCACGATCTTCGTCTAGATACGCCGCTGCTCTACCACTTGAGCTATCATGACCTCGATCCACTCGGACATCAACTTCCTATCTCAACCCCACCTTATGAGTTTTCCCTCCTTTTTGCCATTTTTCAAATGTCAATGTTTTGAAAAATGGCAAAAAGGAGGGAAAACTCATAAGGTGGGGTTGAGATAGGAAGTTGATGTCCGAGTGGATCGAGGTCACGATAGCTCAAGTGGTAGAGCAGCGGCGTATCTAGCCGAAGATCGTGGGTTCGAATCCCGCTCGTGCCATTAACTTTTTTTCATCTCAACTAAAAACCTTAATTAATAGTAATGTATTAATTGGTCAAGCGGACCACGAAATTAGTGAATTTAATGTTTAAGTAATATTGAATTGTTATTTATCGTTCGAAACTTATCTATCATCAAACTGGGAAATTGCTATTTACTGTTATGTGCGACTACCAGCGCCATGTGTCAACAAAGTTAATCGAGATTTTTAACTGGTGGTTGGTAACTCTGATGATAATTCTAGTAACTCATTCTTTCCCGCGTCGCACCTCGGACTTTCAATTTCAGTAATTTCTTTTAAAATCTTTTTGTTTTCAAGTCCCAAAAATGTGTTCGCCTTCTTTCTCGTAGGTAGATACATAATCATGTCTCCTCCCAAAGGTAAGGCATGTGATTATTTTACTAAAAAAACTGAATCGTTGGCATCTTGTAAACTCTGGGGAAGACAGTAGGAATAAGTCTGATCTTTTCAAACATTTGAAAACAAAACACCCGTTGATCAATTTTCTCAAAACTCGATAACGATAAAATTGATCTTGATTATTTAACGCATGGGCGTATTTTAACCAAAGTCAACAATTGTAAGTTGATAATTTATAAATAAACGAAAAACTACTCATATGAGTAATTACTCGTTAGTATCGAAAAATTTCTGTCGATACTGAAGTAGTATTTTTTGAAGCCTTGTGAGGTTATTTTACTAAGAAAACTGAATCGTCTCCATCCTGTAAACTGTGCTTGAATAAGTCTTATCTTTTGAAACATTTGAAAACCAAACACCCGTAGATTAATTTTTTCAAAACTCGATAATGATAAAATTGAAATATCAATTATGTTGAAATATGTTGGCAGCTTTTCCTTGTTCTTACCTACGTACCCACTGTGTGAAAAAAATACTTAAAAATGCAAAAAGAAAGCAATTTCTTGATTATTTTAACGCATGAACGTATTTTAACCAAAGTCCACAATAGTTTTTAATCCATCCATCTATCCTTTTTCACTTAATTGTCACAGAAATGAACATTTCGAACTAATTAATATTAACCCTTGAAAGGGATTTTTATACATTTATTGCAGAGAATAATGCTGAATTAAAAATAATAAACTGTGTATATAAGAAATTTTTGTCCAAATTGCTAATTTTGTTAATGAAAATTTAATGTTTTTTACTTCATGTCATTCGTAATAAGCCAATCTTTTTAAAATTTTAGAAATTTATGTTGTTTTATTCGTAGAGTGGTAAAAAATCAAAATTGAAAATGTGATCAATGATAAATACTGAGCCCACAACGTTACATAGTGTACCATCTTTTCACCCTATTTATTTTTCAGACAATTATTTCAAACTTCAGAAATGTTTCAGTATTGCAAATTTTTCAGTAGCGTGTTATTTTGCCAATCGAGATAGTAATAGTATCATTGTGTTGGTTTTATCGGAGTATTTTATTTATAAACTAGCTTTTGACAAGTCTATATTTGTTATTGTGTTAGCCGGTTGGTATTTCTTGATTTTTTTGTGTGTTTTACCGTCATAAAAATTTGGTTTTTGTTTTATTTCTAAGTTAATTTTGTATGAATTGTTGAGGTTTTTTGTGGTTCTGGGTGAGATGTTTTCTGTGTTTCCAATTAAGTGTACCTTGCATCATTTTGTTTCAAGCCTGCTGGGTGTATTTATTTTATACACAGAGTTTCCGTTATCACGATAAATTTCAAAATACCCGCCCGACAGTAGTAGGTGTAACAAAAGGATTGAAGGGGAAAAGAAAGAACGGCTGAAGGGGCAGATCGAATCGTGCTTTTGAAAAGGGCAGTTTGGACGGAACAGGAAGTTTTAAAAAAATAAGGAAAAATAAGAACCGTCAAGGTGGATTACCTTTTCCAAATTATAACGTTGTGGGAGCGTGTATTTATAACGTTGTGGGATTAATACGGTTATAAAAAATAAAATAATAATTCTGTACCAGTTAAACATAAAAAACTTCTTATATTAATGGGTTGTCCGGAAAATAATGCAGGATTTTGGTATTAAACAAAAAAAAAGAAACTAGTTACTTTAAAGCAATGTTCTTTAATCAAAATAATTTCCCATACTCTCNTACAAATGAGTAATCCTGTAAACGTAAACAGAATATTTTATATAGATTTTTTTTAATGAAAACTTAAAATCCTGCATTATTTTCCGGACAACCCGATAATAACGATAAAATTGAAATATCAATTATGTTGAAATGTGTTGGTATCTTTTCCTTGTTCTTACCTACATACCCACTGTAGAAAAAAATACTTAAAAATGAAAAAACAAAGCAATTTCTTGATTATTTTAATACATGAGCGTATTTTAACCGAAGTCCACAATGGTAAGTAGATCATCATTGTGGGATTAATACGGTTATAAAAAATAAAATAATAATTCTGTACCAGTTGAACATAAAAAACTTCCTATATTAATAACAAATTAATGAATCGAATATATCTTATAAATGGTTACAACTAATTTAGTAAGGAAAAGGGAATAGTAATAGATCATTTATAAATAAACGAAAAACTACTCATATGAGTAACTACTTGTTAGTATCGAAAAATTTCTGTCAATATTTAAGTAGTATTTTTTTAGGCCTTGTGAGGTTATTTAACTAAGAAAACTGAATCGTCGGCATCCTGCAAACTGTACAGGAATACGTCTTATCTTTTGAAACATTTGAAATTGGCATATTTTGAAAACCAAACACTCGTAGATCAATTTTCTCAAAACGCGATAACGATAAAATTGAAATATCAATTATGTTGAAATGTGTTGGTATCTTTTGCTTGTTCTTAACTACATACCCACTGTATAAAAAAAATACTTAAAAATGAAAAACAAAGAGCAATTTCTTGATTATTTTAATACATGAGCGTATTTTAACCGAAGTCCACAAAAGTAAGTAGATCATTTATAAATAAACGAAAAACTACTCATATGAGTAAATACTTGTTAGTGTCGAAAAATTTCTGTCGATACTTAAGTAGTATTTTTTGAGGCCTTGAGAGGTTATTTTTCTAAGAAAACTGAATCATCTGCTTCCTGTAAACTGTGCTTGAAAACGTCTTATCTTTTGAAACATTTGAAAACCAAACACCCGTAGATCAATTTTCTCAAAACTCGATAACGATAAAATTGAAATATCAATTATGTTGAACTGTTGGCAGCTTTTTCTTATTCTTACCTACGTACCCACTGTGTAAAAAAAAAAAACTTAAAAAAGCAATTTCTTGATTATTTTAACGCATGAGCGCAATTTAACGTTTAAATTTCCACAATAGTAAGTTGATCAGTTATGAATAAACGAAAAAGTACTGGTATGAGTAAGAACTCGTTAGTATCGAATAATTTCTGTCGATATTTGAGTAGTATCGAATATTTCTTACGATACCAATATAATCGAATATTTTCGGGTATAGCACGACACTAATTAGAAGCTATGAAGGAAAATTGCTGTTTCATCTTTACGTGTAGTTAATTGAAATTTATTCGCCAAAAAGGATCAGAAAGAAAGGGGGTTTTAGCAACAAAAACAAATATTCAATCACAACAGTTTATTAAAACAGTAATAATCAATAAATAATCTTTTATAAAAAAGCAACATCTCCGGAGTGGCCAGTGCGTATCACCCACGAATTTTGAAAAGCGGGTGAAAAAAATGTTTCGTTTGAATATTCATGTCAGTCGAGTGTCGTATGCGTTGAGCGTTAAAGTACACGTTTATAAAAGTAAGGTCAGTCGTGATTGCAATTGTTAAATGTCTAAAATGTGGGTAGAAGCGATCGGCAATAGTCTAAAAAAGCAACTATTTAATAAATAAATTTATTTAAAACATGCTTAAAATTCGTCGAACGTCTTTGTATAGTCGTATGTCCATTAGCTCGAGTTGAATAAGAAATATCCGTTGTCAAGTTCTGTTTCTAACAATTAAAACGTATTTTCTTACCTAGGTACGTTGTCGTCAGTTAGTTTACTGTCTTGTTGGCACGTTAAGATCCTTAAAACTAATTTTAATAATACTATAAGATAAAAGAGTAAGCTAGAAAGCAGATAGCAAAAGCAAATAAAAAAATTGAAACAAATTGTTTAAGGTCGGTTTATTTACAAGCAGTTCCCTGAGGTATCCTAAACGTAAATTAGTCCAGTCAAGCCAGAAGAAAAGGTGTCAAGTAGAAGTGAAAATTGTATAAAGTTTTTCTTTTTTTTAATTAATACTTCGAAAGAAAACACAAAAGAAACAGAAATACTATAGTCTAAGTTCTTTGGTTTTAAAAATTGCCTTGTCCGTGTCGTCTTGTCTTGCACGTCCAGTCCGCGTTTCGTCGATGGTTTGTCCATTCAATAAATCAATAAATAATTATATATTTTTAAAGAAAAAAATATTTAAATTAAATAAATAAAATGGCTGAATAGTTTTTGTACTTGTTCATGGAACTTTCCTTGAGCAACCTGCAAACAAACAAACATAGTCGATTAGGAAATAAAATCTTGAAATCACATAATAAATACAATATTTTATATATTATTAATTTATGCAGTTTGCATTACGGTGAATTAAACGGGAGTTATGCTAGGTAATTTGTTTATTCAGAGAACTTCCTCAATCAAAATGATTAATCCATAATGTGTAGAAGTGTTTTCTAATTATACGTACATTATTAATAAAGACCAATTTTTTTGAAATTAAAAAAACTATAACCTTTGATCTCTCCAGTCGATAATATAATCAAAACGGAACCGTCTCACGGCCTCTTGTAAAAAGGCAATTGAGTGAGAGAAAAAACTGAACGTAAAAGGTAACGAGTGATTAGTGCAGTGAGCAGATAGATATAAAAGGTCGTAGGTTACTTTCTAATCGGCAGGTCAAGTATCCTGGAAGCTTTCTTCCCCGAACCGGTTCTCCTGTGGGAAAGTAGTCGAGGCAGTCGGATCGGGAACCATATATTAAGGGGTTCTGGGTCAGTAGAGCGTCAGGTACCTGTTTCAGGTGTTCACCTAGGGGAAAATTCCGGTTAAAAGCCGCGTTTGACCGGAGATAGGTTTTTCGGAAATTTTCAGATAGAGGAGGATCCGATTTTGACCAAAGGTATGGTTATGAAGTAAAACTACAATGACTGGAATTTGGACTTGTCTGGAGGTTGATCATCCCTGATCCGCTTATTCTCGCTGTACACTTCATTCGAAATCACCAAATTGCTAACAGACATAAAAAAAACAACAAGTTCCTTTAAAAAAAGCGAAATGTTTACTAATTTGTGGCTCATCTAACTGTGAAAAGAGAGTGGAATCATTTTGTTCTAAATAAACAAATTAATATCTTCAATTTATTTTATGAGGAGATAGTTTGGTAACCTCAGATCAGCAGATGATGTCGAGCTTCTTTTAAATTTTTACAGTATTGAAGATTACAAAGTTTAAATTTAATCAATAATTATTCTTTTTATGTAAGAACTTGGTTGAGAAGAAAAATTTAGTGCCACGAGCGGGATTCGAACCCACGACCTTCGGCTGAGCACGGGGTGGGTTCGAATCCCGCTCGTGACATTAACTTTTTCATCTCAACCAAGACCTTATATAAAAAGAATAATTAATTGAAGTAATTAATATGGTCAATTAGACCACTAAACAGCATTGCCCCGAGCGGGATTCGAACCCACGACCTTCGGCTTAACACGCCGCTGCTCTTACCACTTGAGCTTTCGAGACTTCGATATCTGTTCGGGTTATAGGTTGAAATGGGTAGTTGGTGTCCGAATGGATCGAAGTCACGATAGCTCAAAAGAAGTAATTTGATCAATTAGGCCACTAAACATAATGTCAAACTCCAATAATGTCAAAATTCAATAAGTTTTTTAAACAAAACCGCCAAGTGGTAACTGGAAAATATATTTTTTTATTGATATTGTACTTATAAATATTTATATACTTATAAATTTTAAATTGATTAATTTCCTACTATTAGTTTCTGATGATTTTAACTTTGAGTCATTGAGATGGGTCAGATCTTAATTGGGTTCGGTGCGTTTTGATCTTACAAGTTAAAACTACGGTTATTTAATTAAAAAAACGAACCTTTTTATTGGGCCTTTGGCTGATAGCTGCTGTAGGCCATGTCGTGGGCATCGCCACTCCTTCCCCAACCTCCATGTCCTCCGTGTCCGCCACCGCCACCCCCGAAGCTTCCGACGTCGCCGCCTCCCGAAGAGAAGCCTTCGTGGTGGTGCTCGTGACTGCTCGAGTGATGAGGGTGCGAGACGATCTCGTACGTGACTGATTTGTGCTGGTGGGAGAGGAGCTTCTTGAGGCCGATGATCGCTGAGAGGAGCAGGGCGATCTTGCCGATGAGCAAAGCTTTACCGGCGATGAGGGCGATCGCTCCGAGAGCGACTGGGATCATAGCCGCCGCCTTAAGTTTCATCATCAGGAGAAGTGGGAGCAGGATTTTTCCAGCTTTTTTACCTATCAATACAATTAAAAATATTTAATAAACCCCAGGGGGACAAAATAAAATAATAATTTATTCACAATATATAAATACAAACTAACATTGAGTGATTTGGTATTATTCAAACTAGGTACTTCATACCACCTTAACAAATCAATCAAAAACCGCCCGAAGCCCTAAATCTTTATAAATTGTGAAAGTAAAAAGTGATCGATTATAAAAAAAAACACATTTTTTCAAATTTTCGTGTCATTTTTTAGCAATTCCAAACATATTTTCCCGTTATTTTAGCCCTTTGAAGAAACACAATGGAAAGTACTATTTTCAAATTGAAAATTCTTAAAACTTCGCTCATTTATTTTTTGTACTTTCTTTTAAAAATTAATAAACCGTGTAGTAATCGCGGGGGAAAATTAATGAAAAGGAAAAGATAAAAAATGATGTAGAGCGTGACATCTTGTATAGCCACTACCGTTGTGCATTTCCTTGATTTTTACCTATGAACATCGTCTTTTATGTCTCCGCGTAATAAAATTCATTAATTAAACAAATTTTAAGTAAAATGAAACTCTTTCATCCTTGCAATACACAGATTCATCATTTTAAAAGTTCAATACAACTTGTGCTTTAAATCAGGTAATAGAATGTTTGAATATACGTATTTTCTATTTCAAAAATCTACGAAGTTGCATATTGATGCGGATTTTGATTGATAAAGTAAACATCACATATTCCTAATGACAGATTGTCTTGTTTTACATTTAATGTTGACACTGATAAAATCTGTAAAAGACAAGATTATAAATTGGAAATTTTGTTTAACTTTGTGTACAAAAACTTTTAAGCATGTGATCTATAACTTCTCAAGAAAAACGTTGCATTCATATGACAATTGATACATCATGAGAAATCTTTTGGAATAAAGTGAAGATACATATTCAGAACTTTTTATGGAAAAAATCATCCCAAAATTGTTCGATGTTGACAGAATTATTACAATAAAAATATGTATATATGTAGGATATTAATATCAATGAGAAATTTTACTAAACATTTTCGGATATTTTGTAATTTCTGTATTCGGAAAAAATCGTATGGAGCCACTGGATTTTGTAAGTTTTCGTAATATTATCTCATGGAGCAAAACCTATAGGACGGATTGGTTATGGAACAAATATTAACGTAAAAGTAAATTTAACGCCTGGAATTTTTTTCTAATAAGAGAACATGAAAATGAAATTTGAACAAGGTTCAACTTCAATTTTTTATGTAAGTCTTTAGAGAATTTTTCATTGCATCATAAAGCGCTCTTTGGTAATTTTTATTCGTAATAAATCATGTCTAGTTGTTTGGATTATTTTTAGTTGACTTAATCTTTTTTCTTGTTCAAAAAATCATGCACAAATTTTTACTAGTAAATTCTTCTTTTAAAATTAATTATTGATATATTAATATTGTATGTTTTCATTGGTAGAAAATTGTCTCTATGTACTTGATGTTTTTGGAATATTTCTAACAGTCCAATTGATTGATCACAAAATAAATATTTAAAAATAAAATTCCACGCCCAAAATTTGTAAAAATAATGGAGACGGAAGTTTTTTTTGTAAGATTGTCCATAAAATCACGGACATTAAGGACATTAAGCTGAGAAATAAGAAAATTGGGTGTGGACTATGTTCAGGTGTATCCTGCATAAAATTTTCAGAATTTGATGTACCACAATCATCACAAAATTGTGAATCAACAACCTTCTGTTTTGCTTGAATAACTAATTTAAACCGACAGTTTTGATCATTACTGTAAGAAAAACTTTGTTTTCCGTTTATTTAAAATTGTATAGGAATTTTTTTTATGATGAAATTTGATTTCTCTACTTGTTTGAAATAATTTGTACGTTTGCAAGTAAGTACTTCGACAGAAAAACACTAGTAAATTAAAGTCAGTCGATTTTTATAAAAAGTTAATAAAATATTTTGTAGGCTTTAACTGGTTATTTTTAGATATAGAGTTGGTTCGTACTCAATTTACATAGTCATATTTTATTGTCAGTTTCAGTCATTTCTTACCCTTCTTCCTTCCGGATTCTTCATTTCCGTCTTCTTCCGTCAATCCGAAAGTGTCAGCGACATCTCCGAGAGCTCTGCCGGCAGAGGAAACAGCGTCTATGACTTCGGAACCTTTCAAGTCAAATTTGAGAGTATGAGTTGATAGGAATCTTTCCACTCTAGAAGCAAGAAGGGTCTCGACATCTTCTTTCTGGATGTCATCAGCAGATAATGATCTACAAAGAAAAAATAAATATTTTTAACCGTTCGAATGAAAAACCTAGGAAAATCGTACGTACCTAGGAGCACCGTCTCCTGATACGGCTCCAGGGTTCTTGACTAGAGTGACTCCTTCTGTGAGAGTGAAGGAGTCCTTGCTTCCCAGGACTTTGTCGACGAATGTAAAAAGCTTGTATTTGACGCACGAAACGGATCCTTTGTTGAGGCAGTCCGAGTATATGTTGTCGACGAGGTCGTCCGATGTCTGGATGGCGTTTCTCGAGTTCTCCTGCTGCATGGACGGCAGGGCGTTAGCAAGCCCCAGGGCGAGGAAAAAGAGACCTATCGTCTTAGTCATCCTTCACGTTCTGTTTCCGAGTTGCACCACTCTTTCCTTTTTATACTTCAACTTTCCCCCACTCGGCTTCCAATGGGGGTCAGCGCGACCGGCCCATTCCGGCTACATCCTCAGATATATATGATTTTTTAATTAATTACACCTCTCTCCGATTGCTTTTCAATCGTCACTCAACGACCCGTCTGCTCTTCCTTTTCACAATTTTTCTATTTTCAAACATATAACTAATGGAGTTTATCACACCGAAATCTATGCGTTGAGAAAAAACGAAAGTAAAACCGGATTTTGAAATGGTGTGTTAAAAAATTAATATATGAAGATTAAGCGAAAGCCAGTCTAATAAAACGCTCATTTCAAAAACAATACAAACTATTCAATTATGTATTAGGGATGGTTAGAGTTTAATACATTAAATGACTAGATAGATTACGTTTAAAATATTTTTATATATATTGACCACTTTTTTGCTCACGAATAATCTGAATGAAAAAACAAATTCGTTTGCTATCTGCTAAGTTTTCGACCTATTTTAAAGTCATCATCATGGCCAATTCTTCGAAGATAGATTCAGTCCCAATATTGCCAAGGACTGTATTATTATTCTTCAGACCTTCAAACAAATTTTAAATCATTTATTAATAAAATAATTATATCAATTGGTACTTTAGGATTGTTTTGCGCTGAAGATGAGCTTAAAATAGGTCGAACGCATGCCAGAAAACAATTGAATTGTTTTTTTCTCAGTCGATCTTACCGAGATCCATATTATCAGATTTATTATGACTAATAAATAATACATTACCTCTTGCGATCAACGTAAATGGAACTGAAAATGAACAATTAAAATGGACAAAAAAAATAACATAAAAACATAGACAATAACATAAAAACTATCTGATACTAAGAATATTATTGACATTAATTTAATAATATTATTGTAATATTATTTATTGACTACTCTTCCTTCCAAATTAGCATATTGTAAAAAAAAGAGTTTATTTAAGAAGAAGAAGAAGAAAAATAACTTTATTCTGGGACTGGTGTCCCTAAGAATAATTAATTAATTAATAATTATTTACAAACCATTCGTAAATTTTCAGTAAATATTACCTCTTTAAATGTTGTAAACAAAATATTATATAAATAATAATAGATAGATTAATTACTGTTAATAAACAATTAGGAAATATTAATTAATATATTGTCAGGCCAATTTTTTATATCTGCATCGGCAGTTTTTAGAGTAACTCATAAGAAAATATGTCAAATAGGTAAATTATTTAGCATAAAATTGCTTATAGGATGTAATACAGTAGACAGTTGATGTAATACATTTCATTAGTCTAAAATTATCAGCCAACAGAAGAATATAATCAAATTTTTTTAACGTAGTGTGTTTCTTAAAACTTTCAAGCATTTGGCAGGGTTTGGCAGCTGAAGGGCATTCTATCCATTTAAAATCATCCCTGTCTGATCGTTATTTCAGAGTTAGAAAGGGCATAACGATATCCTCTATCTATCCAAACCGGCGTCCCTCAAGGGAGCATTCTTGGACCTCTCCTTTACACTATGTAAAATGACAATCCTATCCTTGCAGAAACACTTGACTCCACTTTTGCTGATGTTTCAACAATCCTGTCCCGGCATAAAGATTCATCCATGCAGAAACCTTAAAAAACCATCTGCAGTGCGTCACACCATTCTTTTTAATTACCTCTTTACCCTTTGGTCCCTTCCCACACATCTCATTGCCTTGTTTGTGTTTCGCCAGCTCAGTTCCACTACAATTCCAGATAATCCCAGTCGATTCAAACCCCGATGTACATACGATGCCACACGTAGTGACGAAGAAATAAATAAAATGACTTTGTAATAGTAATTATTTAGTTTTTCAAGACGAGCCTCACCGATAAGTGAGTTGTCTTTATATGTTTTCCATGTCAATCCGTTCATACTTACATCGTATTTACTCTTGGTATTGCTTTACAGATGTCCAAAATACTAAATGAAAGTCGTGCTTTCGAATCGAAAGTCAAAGGAAAATATTTAATGCTTTTAAACCTAAATATAAACATTCAGAGCAAATTTAATTATATCTGCGTGATTTGCAATAAGCTGTCAAAATTTTATGCAATGTCTTGTCATAACTAGTCGTGTATTCTTTTTTGTTGTATTGGTATTTCAATAATTTAATGTATAAAAATAATATTGTGCACAGAGAAGTAACTTAAACTTCGTCGCCTAAGATACTTTGCCAAATGTACTTTATTATTTAATGAACAACATTACATTGGACAATTATTCAGAAATCGTGAGATGCGGTCTGATGTGATAGGTTTCAGAAAAACATTTTCTTTATCGTGCCAACGTTTCGATCTTTATTGAGATCATCTTCAGATCACAACTGATCACCACACATTACATTGGACTTATATAAATTTGTCATTATAAACTGTAAAAAAAAGAAAATTATTAATAATAATAAATTTGGTCAATGCCAAAACCCTTTTAAAAAACGTTCTTACGCAAAATCATTAATTTATTGTTAAAACTGTTACATCGATACAAAAATATCTCAAATAAGAAATCGTGATTTGAATAATTCGAGCTGATTAACATTTTAGAAAAAATAAAATCGAAAGTCGTCTCGTGGTGAGGCAGAAAAAGAAATATAAAAATTAAGCGAAAGTCGACTGAAAACATAAAGTGACACTTGGAATGGTTTTTTTTAAATCAAGTTTTGTAAATATATTTTATTACGTCAATTTGAAGTTTTGAATGTTAGCAAATACATAAGGTATTATGTCTATTTTATGTAGTTATTCGTATTATACTAACAGTAAATTAATATAATTAAGGAAGTTATAAATTCAACCTTTGGTGTGTTTTTGACTATTTTATATTTAGCATATTTATTGAGATCACTTCTATGATAAAATTGTTTCGTCCTTTAATCAGGAAGTCTTACTAGACATTTAAATTTAACAATTTTTACCTCAAATATAAATTGATAAATGTAAACCAGATACATAACTTTTTTAGGAAAATATTTTTCTTTTTCATATAATTAAAGCAATAAAACATAGTTTCTAAAACGGTCAGGTGTAGTGTCTTGCACGGTTTTAGGGTATATTGATAACTGTAATGTTAGTTATCCCATCGTTCGTGTATTTTATTATTATAATAAAATTAATTTATGTGGGATGTATGAGTTAAAGAAACACTAATCTTTGCATATTACATCCATCTATCTAAACAAACACAATAGTTCAAAAATGTTAATATTGTTCAATCTTAACAAAAATATAATAAACATATAGTAAGTATATTTACGTACAATACATATGGCTTAATTGACATAGTATTTGTGTAATGCATGGAGGTCCTGTAAACGTATTGTTGTAGTTTATCAATGCAATAAGGACCTTTTCATGGGATTAGAATGATAAAAGACACCATTTTCGGTCCAAATTGACTGTTGCATGGCGCTTATTGTATTATTTTTAAGATTCGTTTGGGGTTGTTTACTTTGTGGGAATGTGATTGTGCTGCTCAGACCCATAGGTCACAAGAGTATTGTCAAGAGAGGCAAATGTGGGATACAGATAATTATTTTACATAAGTAATTATGTATTTACTATTTTTGTAGTTTATTCAGCATTCTAAAAATTTCAATAACCTCATTAATGTGTGTGTGTTTAGTGTCCGTTAGTTAATGATTATTTTGAGATCATGAGATGCGGTTTGGTGTGACGTAAGTTTTCGCAAAACATTTTCTTTATCTTGCCAACGTTTCGATCTTTGTTGAGATCATCATCAGAGCTCAAAGTGTTTGTTTTCTATGTAGAAATGTCATTCTTGTGGGTCGCGTTGAGAGTGTCCCCCTTTGAGCCGTGAAGTAGATCTCAATAAAGATGAAAATTTGGCACAATAAATAAATTTTTTTTCTCTAAAACCTACGTCACACCAGACAGCATCTCACGATCTCCAAATAATCATCAACCTCATTAATGGTTTTATTAATGATGTGACATTACGGGTTAGAATTCGTTTTTTTAACGCGTTGGCAATTCCAAGTAATTTTTTAGTTTTAAAAATTGTTGTTAAATGTAATAATCAATTGTAATGTTTCTTTACTATTTGGTACAGCTCATTTGACTTGATCTTTAGTGACAAATTATACGCCAACACTCCGATATTGTTTGTTATTTCGTAAGGTTTTGAAATGTGAGAATATCTGATCCTCGTTAATCATGAATGCAGATGAGGAAAGATTGCACATAAAACTAGTGAAGTGCATTTTTTAGTTCACAGTACTCTTAGATCGTAGGAAATATTTTTATACCAACTTTTATTTTGTGAACTTGCAATTATATAAAATTGGCGTTAGTACGGAAATATTTATAATCTGATAGAATTGAACAAGACATTATTATTTTTAATTTTAGTTTAAGTAGTATAAATTTATTTATTGCACTGTGACTTTGACCTGAAATTATTTTTAATGTAATTTGAAAAATATATTTTATTTTATCGAAGGAAAAATATAAAGATTGTATTTTTTCCGTTAGATTGGTAATATATGGGTTTAGTAGTTGGAGAAACAAAACTAGGATTACAATTTAGAATTGCCTTTTTCGTAAAATAGCAAATTAGCCTTAAAACGGAAACAATGCGGCTCGGCGTAAACTACAGGAACTGGGACGTTCCCACATTCCTGATGAAGGGGAAATAGCAGAGTCCGAAAGTGGTTTGCTCGGCTTGGAGAGGGAAAAGAATTGGACCAACAATTTCTCACATAAGTGCTCCTATAGGGGTAGATAATTAATGATATGGGCTAATAGCTCAAGGGCCCGAGGGTACCCAGTTTCCCCCCTGTCATCAGAGAAAATTACCAAAGATGCTTACACTCAACCGTACTCCCGCCGGCTTAACGGAACGGTGGCTACGCGCCGTGTCTAAAATGTAAATTTTCATGAGCTATTGTCCGGCCGATTTTTTTCCCATAAGTCACGATCTGAAAGCAATATCCGATCTG